GATATTTTTTGTTAAATTAATTACTATTTTGTATTAACAAGTTTTTACAAAAAATATATTTGAATAATTAAGTTTTAAGTTTAAACAATAAATTATTCATTCTATAATTTTGATCTATTTTTAAAACATCACAAAAATAACTACAACAATTTAATTGAAAAATGTGGTAAAAAATAATGGAATTATAAAAAAAAATTAGTAGTTTGGTAAAAAAATACTAAATTTGATAAACTATGTATAATAATTTTATTGGTTTTGTTTTTATTATAAAAAAATTTACACATCAAAATAACATTTAAATAATTATTCTAATTATTAGATAACAATTCTTGTTGTGCTTCAGAGATAAGAATCTCAGTTAACTGATTAACTTCAGTTATCTGTTGATCAACAGATAACTGAAGATTTCAAGTAAATTTAAAAATGGTAATGAAATATTTACAGTAAAAATAATGAATTATTTGCATAACGGTTGTTAAAAAAAATTAATAATGCCTTTTTGGAAAAAAGAATTTCTATTTTATTATATTTTTATTCCAAAAATCATTCTTAAATTAAAACGAACTGAATTAAAATAAATAAATGATGTCTCATTATGTCAATGAAGTTGTATCTATTTCATCTGACAGTCAGAGTGAATGTACAGAAATCGGAAACGATAATTTTGATGATGATTATGATGAAAAGAATTGTACGGAAAACGAAACAGGTTTTTATTTTAAAAAGGAAGAAGTAGATTTGTCAAAAGAAGGTATTCAACAAAATGGATTACAATCAAAAATTATTATAGAAGAAGAAGATACAATATGTCAAAATCTCGGCAATTGGTGGGATTATTGTGTGATTTATAGGTGTAAAGAAGGAGAAAACAAAGAAAATTGGGAAGAAATCAAAGAGACAGAAAAAGGAAAGAAACCACCAACACCAAACGAAAAGGGGAAAGTGTACAAATTACAATGTAAGTTGTGTAGTCGATGTTTGACTCTTTCAAATACTGGGAAAAGTGTTACTTCATTCAAAGCTCATATTAAAAAAGATGTCGAAAACGTGTTTTTCAAAATGAGGTTAAATTCTAAAAATACCAAAGTTAAAAGAATCGACAAAAGTGAAATACAAAAAGTAATAGCCAAGTATGTCATCGAAGAAAACTTGAGTTACTTACATTGTGATCACAAGGGATTCCACAGTTTGATTCGTTTTTTCCGTCCAGACTGTACCATTCCATGTAGCCGTACAATAAAAGAAATAGTCATTCCTTGTCTTTTTTATGCAGCTCAAGACAAGCTTAAGACAATTGTTTCTGGTTTGGATTTTTATTGTGGAACTACATATGGGTGGTCAACAGTTAAATGTGATCAAGAATTTGTGTCGTTGACTCTTCGTTTTATAGAAGACAAAAGACTTCGTTCATTAGTTTTGGAAGTTTGTCAGAGAGGTGAAAACGAAGGAGAATCATCAGAAGAAATAAAAACAAAGTTAAATGGATTTATCACAAAGTGGGGTCTTAACAATAGATTTTTCTTCGTTACAGACAATGCACCAAATGAAGTAAAGGGTGTAAAACTTACTGGTAAAAATATCTCTCACTTGTGGTTGTCATACTTTTAGTTTGGTGGCAGAGCATGCTACTAACAACGTCACAAGATTTACTCTCCTACTCAAAAAAATGAAAAAAGATAACTTCACTTTTTAACAAAAGTGTTGAGTTGATTTCGTTATTAAAAAAAGCACAATCCATGGTAGACTACCCCCAAAGGAAACGTCAAAGAAGTCGAAACGAGATGGGGGAGTGATTATTTAATGACAAAAAGAATGGAAGAACTTATTGATTCGATCAATGTGACGATCTTAACAAAGTACAAAGAAATGAAAAATGTCAAAAGAAAAAAGATATTTATAGAAACTTACAAAATAACCAAAGAAGACATTCTAGACATTCACCATTACAATACTATCATGTCACATGTTTTCAGAGAAATAAAGTTATTGGAATCTGAGAACTATCCAACTTTGTCAATGCTTATATTCACTTCGTGCCGTTTGATTGAAGTTTTATCGGAAATATATACTGATTTGGGAGAAGATGATGTAGTAAAAGAAGAACACGTTGAACGTTGTGAAAAATGTGCTGTAGTAAAGGGGTGTCTTTATTTTGGATTTGATGAGTTGCCAAAACATTGCAAAATTGATTTTTTAAAAACAAGTAAAATTGAAATAGAAGGACCGACTAATGCCGCAAAAAAACTAATAAAGTCAATTATCAGTGAAATGAACAAGAGGCTTTTCACAACCCATGAAATTTCTGAAAAAGATGTAAATATGGGATTTGACCCCAAACTTGACATTAGAGAAGACGAAGACTGTATTTTGGCTGCGTTACTCAACCCGAAATATAAAACTGGATACTTTGAATCAAAAGACTTTTATCTTGGCAAAGAAGAAAACTGTATATGTCGTTTGAAAAAAGTTGAATATGAAAGCGTCTGCATTAAACAACTGGTTGAAATGAACAAAGTGTCCAATTCTCTCGTTTCAAAAGAATTCAACATAATTAGGTCTGAAAGTCGCTCTGTGTAGTTCGAGTAGACAAGATAAATATGACCTTACAAGTTTTCCTGTAGACGATCGTCATAATGATAACTTTGAAATGAATATAGAAAATATCGCTGTTAATGAATTGAACGAATATATCAATATGAAAACCAACAACATATTAACACCAATTAGTTGGTGGGAGAAGCACAAGTATCAATTTCCATTTTTGTACATCTTAAGCAAAAAATACTTGTGCATTCTTGCAAGCTCTGCTTCTTCTGAGCGTCTGTTCTCACAATGTTCAATCGTGAGAACACAGAAAAGAACGAGACTTAGCTCTAGTCACCTTGAGCAACTCGTTTTTTACACATGTTTTCTCTTCAATTTGATCTTTCAGAACTCAAAATAACAGACGAAATAAGACAAAGGGTGAAATTAGAAATGGGAAACGAAAAAGAAAAGAGAATAAAAGAAGAAGTAAAACGGAAAAAATTCATTCATAAAAAAGCGGTTGGAGAGAAACCTGTGCAGAGGAATAAAGAAATGAACAAAAAAGAACGGTAATTAACTTTTAATTAATTGGAAGCATTTTTGGTTATTGTTTTTTGTTTTGTATTAATATCAAAGTCAATTTATTTCATTGTAATTATTTTTTATTGTTTACACGTAGATGTTCTTTTGATTCAAAAACAATAGTTGGTCATAAATTACTTTTTGGTCTCATTTTTATTTTTTTGTTTATTTTATACCACAAAACCCGATAAAATTGAAAAAAACTTATTTGTTTTACAATTATTTAAAATTTGTGTATTTTATGTGGAAAAATACGGGAAGTGTTTTATTCATCTGTTCTAAGATTCCTATCTCTGTTGTGCTTCATAAACAATTCTATAATTTAGTTATAAATCCAGTTTATAGTTTAAAATGGTTGTTTTGTTACTATAATCTTTTATTAAAAATATAGTAATAGTTATTATTCTATTTTTATTAATTTTTTTTTGATTATAATATTTGAGAGTTGGCTGAAAATAGAACTACTCTGGCGAGTGCTCAATTTTTTCTGAGTAAACTATATTTTCTCCAAGTAACTATAATTTACCATTTAAATTATAGTTTCACAATTCATTTAATAAAAAATAGTATAAATATAATTTATTATAGTATAATGGAAAAAATTACTGTTGTATCCTGAAATTACAGGTATAAAAGCAGTGAAATATATAATTTGTTTTTATTAAACCTTTTATAAATATTATTATTTATTTACAAAAAACAGAAACAAAGTAAAAACGAATTCAATAAGTTAATTGTTTGTCGCATCGACAAATTCTCTTTCTCCATTGGCAACAGGAGAAACGTCACCATTGTTAATAAAAGTTTTGAGTTATCTAATAGTTGCTTGTAAAAGAAAAGTCATAAAAAGATCTCTATTTTGAGGTTCAGTGATTAAATAGTGGTGGAAATAATAAAAGTGGACATTTCTCAATGGGCGTTTGGTAATTTTGAAATTCAACAAAGCGTGAACAAATCTAAAATATTTACCATAATTCTTTTCTGGTGATTTCCATTGATTTCTCATCAATTTAAAAGTTTATACCAAATTTTTAAATACATTTCGACAATAATGCGACATGAAGAATGAACATTATAGTGGTTTAGAATTGCATCCATCTTTTGAGTGGTGTATTCAGTTGAAAGATCTGATTGATAAAAAGTGACACAATTCGGACAAGATTTTTAGCCTCCATCAATAAGAAACAACATTTCTTCATCAATATACTTTTTATTTGGGTAAGTTTTAAAAAAAACACTGTCATATGTAGCAGCTAAAATTTCAGTCCCAATACTAACAGCAATTCTGAAAAATTAACTACTAATTCAATTTTCAGCCTGAATGATTGGACTTGTACAAATAAATCCTTTTTTGCAATTCAACAACATTTTCTCTGTTAATTTTAATTAATAACTGATTAGTCTCTTCCATCAATCAAAAATATAATAAAATTTAGCTAAATTTGGAATGAATTGAATAAATGCTGGATTTCTATTGGTTGAAAGGTTTTGTGTTGTAAACTGTTTAATTGAATCAATAAACGAAAAATACAATGATAATAAAATAGGTACAATGCCATTTTAATCTAACCAAAAACGTTAGTTTCTCTTTTGTGTTTTTCTTTCATTTCAGAGTTTGGTGTGTCAATTGTTTCAGAAAAAAAGCACACAATATCGAGATTGGCAAACAATTGTTTTAAGAATAAACATAGTAAATTATAGTAATTGGTAGCAACAAATCACAATATGACATCTGACAATTTCCATTTAACTCTTTAACTGCTAAATTATACTCAGTACCAACAAAATAACCAAGTTGTTCAGTGTTTATTAATTGATTGCTCACAATAAGGTATGCCTTTATGTATCGAAACAATTCAAGCAATTCGTCAAATACTCTTTTTGAAAATTCAGTCAAAGTGACACATCTTGTGTAACTAGTTTAGTTTATTTCACAAATTGTTTGTTTCTCTTCTATTAATATGGCAAATGTAAATGTTTGAATTGCAATAGAGTCGAAATGAACAATTACCATTTTTAAAAGATATAGTGATGTAGATTTTTGTGTATAAGTGTTAGTCGTCACCATATTAACAGCTTCTTATCTCAAAGTTCTCAGTGAAACTGTTTGCGCCCGCATTTCATTTCTTGACTGACGTTGGAGTGGTTGATCTCGGGGTGAAATGGTTGACTTTTTGACAGCTTTTTTGATGTGTTTGGTACTTTGTGATGGTCTTGGTGGATTTCTGGTGGTTCTCTCTTGTGTGTCTTCATATGCCTCCTCTCTATTTTGAATATGACTTGATGATCTAATGGAGTTAGACTGGGGTCTAATGAAAAAAATAGTGAGTCCCGCTGTGCCTGCTTTGTAATGATCGTTGCTGTGCAGAGATTTTTGTGGTAGTATGGGGAGTGGTTGTTGTTGTGCATGTAGTTGCGACTGTTGTTGTGCTCCAACAGTTGTTTCGAACAAGCCATGGTGGTTTTGTTCGTTAATGTTTTCCATTGTGTTTTTAAAATTTTGAAATCCTTAAATATTTTAAGGGTTTTTTAGAAAAAATAAAATAAATAAAAATTTCAAACCCTGTTAGAAAAAAATGAAGGTATTTTAAATCTAATTTTATTTAACCTTAGGATGTCGGCAGTGTAATAAAAATAACATCTATTTTTTAATATTTCCTAAAGTTTTTGATAATATCAAAACTATAATATATATCATTATTAAAAAAGTATGTTTATGTTTAAGTACTATTATTAAAATGACAATACAATTATAATAATTAATATAAAGAAAAAATTAAAACTCAAAAAAATAATTTGAATGGAAACCGAAAAATATGTTTATTCAACAAAAAAAAATAAAGGAGAAATTATAAACATATTTGAATGGGAATTGTACAACGTCGGTTGTATAAAACAGTGTTGTAAAGATGTTTATAAACAACCCATACTTATAGATACTCCTATAAGCGAAATGGAATGTTTTAATTTATTTTTTAATCAAGAAATGAAAACTTACATTATTATGATCACAAATGAATGTGGAATGGTTATTTTTGGCAAAGAATGGAAACAGTTGTCTTTTGATGAATTCGACGCGTTTATTGGAATGTTATTATTCAACGGCGTTGCTCATGACAATGAAAAGAGTTTGAATTATATGTATGGTCTATATGGAAATCCATTTTATCGTTCAGTGTTCAGTGAACACAAATTTAAACAAATTCTGAGGGTAATTAGATTTGATAAAAACGCAAAGAACATACTCCTTTTAAGAATAAAACAAAAAGAAACTGATTCATCTTTGAAGACATCGATAAGCAAGAAAGTTGACTGAAATTAAGAAGTCAAAATTGGGGAAATCGTTATATTCGCACGTTTCACAATTTTATTCTGAGAGAGAGAAAGAGTCATTAATTTTGGAAGTCGATGACAGTTCGAGCGCAAGTTCAACAGATGATGATAGTGATAAAGATGATGATAACGGAAATGACACAGACAGTGGTGATTACACTGAAAACGGTGAAGTGGATAATAGTGAAAAGTGTAAAAATGATGGCGAACTTTGTGAAGTCAACGACAAAGAAAAATAAGACAGCAAAGACAATATAGGAAACAAAAAATTTAACTTGGATGAAACTGAAAATGAGTTAAAGAGTTCATCAACAGTTGCTCTTAAAGAAATGGTTATGCTTGAAAATAAAACGGGATTTGACAAATTCAGAGACATATTCAACTTCTTTTTAAAATCTATTGGCAACAGTTACAATAACAAACAAATATCAGGAAGTATATGTATAGATGAACAGTTGGTTAATTACTATGGAAATTGCAAGTTTTGACAATACATGCCATCGAAACCTGGCAAATATGGCATAAAACTATGGCTTATGGTCGATAATGTTACTGGTATGATAGTAAACGCCAAACCATTTTTAGGCAAGTATGGTGAAAGTGAGGAAAATGGAATAACTAAAATGGTTGAAACATTGGTATCTCCTTATTTAGGAAACTACTTTACCTTATACGTCGATAATTTGTTTACTACACTTGAATTGGCATTAAAACTGAAACAACTCGACATTGATATGATTGGAACTTGTCGCAAAGAACGTTGTTTTGTTCCCAAATTGTTTAAAACAAAATAAACTTGTAAAAGTTTTATTGCCTTAAAACTTAATTCAATTTGCTTTTCAGAAACTACAAAACCCGACTTTGACTTTTTCTTACTAAATTATTTTGACAAACAATACAAAGCTGTCACTTTTTTATCAACAAAAAACAACAAATGTGTTATAACAAATCAACTGGAATGTTTGTAGTGCAAGACTGTAATAATAAAAACATGGGAGGCGTGGATTGTATTGATAAGATGGTAAGATGTTACTCTTGTAAACAATGTACACGAAGATGGACTCTGGCGATGTTTTATAATATAATAGATTTGATGGCAATTAACTCTTATCACCTTTTCAATGGAAACATAACACGTGAAAACTTCTTGATTAATTTAGCGAACAGTTTGGTAAAACCTTGGGTAAAAAAACGAATCAGGTTGTCAGCAAGAATCAGAGAATCAATTGTTAAAAGTAACCTTTTTACTTACAAGAAATAAATGCAACGCGACTAAGTTCGAAATTAATAGAACGACCTGTGAATGAAAAAATGTGTTATCGTCCCATTTTTAGTCCAATTGATGAAAGATTTTGTTTTATTGATATAGCAAATCGGAAAGATGACAAATGCAAATCAAAAATACATCCGTTTTGTTCAGAAATCAACGGTCTTGTTTATTGCAAACTATGCGATGGAAAATGTAAATCAAGAATTAGAACTGGATGTTACTTGTGTGGAGTACCTGTTTGTAAAAGTCATACTGTCTTTCTATGTATTAATTGTTTCAATGGTTTCGTCGAAATGAATGAATTCCAACCCAAAAAACGAAAAATGGATTGCAGTGAAATGTAACTTCTGTGTGTTATATTAAAAAATGTTGGACTCTTTTTACTTTGTTGATTGACTTTATGTTTTTTTTATTTTTTTTAAATTAGGAAATTGTAATAAATATTACAAGGGTGCCATTCTCAAATTTTTATTTAAAATGTTTTTAAATTTGTTATTCATTCGCAATCCTAAGGTTAAACTTTTTATTGCTTGTTGTAACTGTTTTAATTGAAATTTTTTAATAAAAGTTGTTGTTTTTTTATATTTTTATCAAAATGTTATAGTATCATTTGATTAATAATATAATTATAATTTTATAATTTGTTTGATAAACTATTACATAAAAAATATTATAATTTTTATTATAAAAATTTACTAGAAGCACTCAGAGAAATATTGTAAAAATCTCGTTTACTAAAAGAAAAATATACCGCTCGCCAGAGTAGTCTTATTTTCAGCCAACTCTCAATTAAATAATTTGATTATTGTTGTAAAAATTTAAATAATTTCTAATTTTTAATTATTTGAAACTAATTTTTGTTTCGAATTGTTTTGTTTAAAGATTTTTTTCTAAACTGGTAAAAACTAAAACTCATTAAAACTTCAACAATTATATTATAAAAAAAATAATTGTTTTTGATAATAACAAATTGTATTATTGTGAATTTATTGGTATACAAAAAATTTTTTTTAAATGAAAACTTTAATTATTAAATATTTAATATTAAACTACAAAAGCAAGTAAGAGTTGAATGATTGTATTTTTAGTTTATTAATATATATAGAACTATAATCTAAAATCATCTATTCTTGTTTTTCAAAAACAAAAAAGCAATCGAAAATTTTTGAAAAATACATTCAGAATTTTTCCATCTAAAAAAACGGGTTAGAGAAAACAAACAAAAATAATTATTGTTATTGGACTTGCTCATTTTTAATGAGATTGTGGTGGCAAAAAGAGAGATTTGATAGAGGCGATAAAAATTGGGAAAAAACAAAAATGTGGGGCGAACAGAAAAGTCATGGAAAACTACCAACATCTAGAGCCCTACGAGAACCTTTTAAGCATACTTCCTACGCTTCAGCAAACTCTACAAGACGTCTCTGATAAGACTTCATCATTTCTCAAAACGACAACACACTGCGTATACACACCAGTTGTCGACGAGAGGTCCGAAGACACTATCAGCCGCGCTAGCTATATGCTGAACAACATCGAGAATTTGGTAACGAAACGAAAGGAGTTGATAGCACTTTGTACAGCTTCCTTACAAATTTTTCAGAAGGTGGAGGAGGCTTTAAAATATGTGGCGGACAGCTGCATGAATGACAACTACGAGACATCTCAGTGCACAAACAACTTGATTGACGTCATCATCCAAGCAGAAGAATCTTTACTGAAGGAGGACCTAACTTCGCTTGAAGAAACTGTTGTGAATCGAAAAAAAGAATTTAACGATCGGAAAGAGGAGCTAATGAACAAAAAAGTACAACTGGACAAACAAGAGCAGAAGGAGAGAAAACTCGTGAAGCAAAAAGCGCAAGTCGACGCGGAAGTCAAAGTGATTTCTGCGGTCGAAGGTGTCGACGCAAACAAAGCTCAACAAGCGAGGGTCGAGCAAGAAGCGCAAGAGCGGAAAGTCCTTGAGGGGTTATTGAAACCCGAACAAATTGCCAAAATCGAAGAGTGGACACACAAGACCGTCTCTGGAATTTTGTTTAACTCCGAAGTGGACAATTGGAGTCGAGGAAATTGCGTTTTTGCGTCTCGGGTGAGTAACAAGTCGCATGTAGTTGTACTGATCAAAGACGACCGTGGTGACATGTTCGGAGTTTATGTGTATGGTACAATCGATAAAACGGACGTTCGCATCGAAGACCAAAACGCGTTTGTCTTCTGCCTTGAGTCGAACGGGAGGTTACAGAACATGGAGCGGTTCGACTCAAAACCCGACCAAAAGATCTTCTGTTTGTACTCCGACGAAAACCCGTCGTGGATATTTGGTGTTGGCAATTCGTACTTGTTTGACATAGGCGTATGTAAATATGGCTTACAAGCAAACCACTGTGTCCAGAGTTCTTTTGACTATCGTGGATTCAAATACGCGCTCTGTGGCGACAAGCGTTTTGTTCCGATGAAGATTCTTGCGTTGCAGATGAGGTAGAGCGTCCTTTACAAACCAGTTCTGTCTATTTTTGGAACTATAATTGCATTGTTATTTTTACCATTTATTAATCAGTACACAAGACATAGACTTGAACAAAGAATCAAATTAGGCTTTGATGCTTTCAGAAAGCGATTTGCACATCGACGCCAATGCGAGGTATTTTCTCGTGGTGATTGATTGTTCCTCTGTCATGACCAAGAATCTGTCGAACTGGTCGATCTTTGCCTTAAGCGAACCGTCGAAGATCATCTGCAACACCAACAACTCGACTTGGTCTTCGCTCAGGATGAGTTTTTTGGACAAGAATGGCAATTTCACTCGTTTGAAACATGAAGTGAGTTTGACGATTGTTTTTCTTTGGAACTTTTCGATTAAAATTGGGACGAATTCCTTGATGTAGTTCTGTGTATAGAAATGTTCTCCGGACTCCTTCAGCTTTTTGAGGAATTCTGGCGCGTTGTTGTTATTAAAAGCCAAGTAGATTTGATACACCGAGACAAGGTCTTGATGTGTTTGGTACGACTTAACTTCTTGGGCCTGGAAGATATCGATAGTCGACAACGACAGCATATGGGCCAAAATTGTGTACTTAAGGGAGTCGATTCTCTCCGGAAGTCCAGCTTCATCAAAGCTCTTAAAACTGTCGAAGAAGTCGTTTTTAGCGCCGGCGAAGTCCGAATTTGACATTTTGACTTTCCCACACGACTGCATGATGACACCGTGGACCTTTGGGTGCGTAACACTTCTTTCATTGAAATTGACTCTTCCACAGAGTTGTTGGAGTTTTCTCATATCATTCAATTCCGAGTACAATTGAATCTGAAGACCATATAAGTCGACTAATAAATGACTTCTC